AAATTTTTTTTAATCATTATTTATATGTAAATTTTATTATTTTCAATAAAGTGAGACGCTGGCAAAGCTGGGAAAGATTCTTCACTACTGATGATGTCATAATTCATTCACGTATGAATCATTACAAATGACAACAATGTACACATGAACGTTAGTAACGTTTTTATAATAGTTTTATACACATCTTAATTTGACATCATCAATTTTAGTCAGAACGAAACATCAATATCTTTTAATTAGTAATAAGATGCAGCAAAATAAAATATTGTTTGAGGCAGCAAGTGAAAAAATTAGTACATCAGAGCAAAATGTTTTTTTATTTCACTTAGAATTATGCAGTTGGTATGGTCGCAAAATAGTTGGAGATATTTAAAGGAAATAGGTTCGTGGTTTCCTAACACTGAAAAGTGGCATACGATTCTTGTGGTGAATTCGTTTTGGTAATGGGAACTTAATCTTTGAGTCGTGGAATTGCTTGACTTGCGGTCTTCTACAATTTTCTGCCTTCACAATTTCTACTTTAATAATCTGAATTGAATGTGCACGTGCACGATGGCGGGCACCCATATCTCTGTAACATTGTGTTACTGCACCACTAACAGAAAGATCTCTGTACTCTCTGTACATGTTATGAGTACCAGATCTGGAATCGTATCTTAACCAAATCCCAAAATTCTTGATCTTGATTGGGGTTTTTTCTGGTATCTAAAACATAATGTACATGCCATGTTTATGGTATAAAGAAATTTTTAATAAAAGTTACATAGTTCATATAATAATTACCTCTTTTAATGAAACAATCTCTCCAGTAGACTTTTTAAACTTTTTAAGTTGTCGTAAAAAATACCAAAATCTGGATTTTGCTACGATAGCATCAGGTGCAAATATCCTCATTTTATACAAAGGAGTAGTCTTCTCCTTTTCAGTCGGCAACTTACGGCCAATCACTTCGAACTCCTTAAGCTATAAGACAAAATGTATATAAGAATTTATGTAAAAAATAGAGATGCATAGGGACCTAAGAGATGACTAGAACTAGAACCCAATGATCATGACGGCTCAGGAAAATATCAAGTCGGTATGGGATAGGTTCTTAAAAATTTCAGGATTCCCAAAAATGTTGAGATTTTTTGAGAATGATCAGGATTCTCAATTATGTCGAAGTTAATAATGAAGCTTCAAATCATAATTCGAACATGTGTTTGCCATCGTCACAAGTTAGGTTAAGTCATTCTAAGCACAATGATTTGTCTACACTTAGAGTATCACAGCGAAATAATCATAATTTATAAATTCCACAAATTGGAAAAGATTACATTTAAATTAGATAAATTGTGAATTTAAATGTAACTGTTATTATTTACTTACTTCACCCTTGGCTTTCATTTTACCGTGCGTGTACTACGACGATAAACCGGAAAAGAATTCTGGTGAATTAGTAGTGGCAGGTCGGCGGCTTTTTCGATTCATGCGCACTAAGAAAAGTTACAAGGAGCATTCTAGTGCCGTACTTATATTCTTAAATGTAAGGATACCAGCAGGCCCGGAATATGCAGAATATATTATACGTAGAGAAAATTTGAAGAAAGGGAAAAAGATTTAAGATAAAAGAAATAAATGGAATAAAATACGATATAATTAATATTAATTAAATTTATTCTTTGCCTTTTACGTATTCAGCAATTTATAAGAGTAACCAATACTTGAAATTCATTGGAAGAGTAAAAGAAACTGCAGAAAAGTTAGACATTATGATACAAACAGTAATGAGTCGTCAGTGCCTGTCACGTCATATCCCTAGTTGTGACGTCATTAACGCAAGTGCTTTTAGGTCGACGTTCGACCAGTACGGAAGCGGAGCCATTTTATTTTCTACTGATATTAAAATCCTATCATAAATAAGCGAAAAGAAGAATGATACATTTTTGAGTTTTCATTAAAATAATTAAATTATAACAACTTATATCCAACATTTTTATTGAGTAAGACAATTACAGTTGTAAATGTATCATATTCTTCATTTTTGTAATGTATGTACAATGATTTGTATTATACGTTCTCATGTAAAAATGTACATAAAAGAATCGTTGAAATCATGCGTCATCAATTAGTTACATTATACTTTCTGGAAGATCGAAAACATTCTTACAGAGACATTTTACGACCCTCAATGGATATATCTACAGCTCTTCTCGCCGCTTTTATCCTCTTGCTATCCATGTAGTTCTTCATATGTCTTTCGAATCTATTCATTTGCTTCTTAGTACTCTGTTATAAAATGACATGAAATGAGAAAGTACTTCAAGTATCAAATCGACTGAATAAAAATTAAATATAAGAACTATAATTACCCTACTAATGTCGACATCAGATTTCCAATCTGGTCTTACAACGTAATCTTTATTAGAAGGTCTAGGAACTCTAGCCCTCCCTACCCAACCAGGATCTCCAGGCCTTAAAGGTCTAAATAATAGAATAATTATTAAATCGTCTAAATGAGAGGAATTACTAAATAATCTGAATATAAGTTCTGTGAAGAGATCATACTTAGCATCTCCTTTCAAAGCTTTATTAATATCTTGCGATTTCTGGGAAGAACCACCATCGTCAGTTTTCCTTCGTTTGTGAGGCGTTTGTTCTAAATCTCTTTGCATTCTTTCTTCCTTTGACAAAGCTTTAAAATCTGCGGATAAATTAAATATGGGACGTGCCCATTCATTAATTAATTTACCCGCACGTTCCTTGTTTTCTTTAGTTTCTTTTGGATGCTTGTAGAGATACATTACAGCTTTGCCAATACCCGATTGTTTTAGAGAAGATTGATCTATTCGTGGAAACTAAAATAAAATACTGGTCATTATTTCGTATTCTAGATATATAAATGAATAAGACCTATCATAAGAACACAACATAAACTTACCTCCCACAAAAGTTTCAAAAGACTATCTCTAATTTTTAATGATGGCAAAGACCGGTCAGGCATTGGTGCTAACCAGTCTGTTAAAACTGATAACACATTGTGTTCTAAAAATGCCAACTGAAGATCATGTTTCTTAAGTTGCGATAATACTTTTGGTAACATAGATATTTTATTAGTAGCCGGTTTGTTTTGTTGATTCAGTTTTCTGTCTTCTTCTGATGCGATTTTCATATCAGACAATAATTGAGCTATAATGTCGTCATTGTCATTAATTATATCAATATCCTTCCTCTTGCGCCTTCGTGATTGTTCTTCCTTCTTACGAGCTAGCATACGATCGAAATCCGATAACGAATCATCGCTGAAAGATTATTATACTCATTACGACTTTCTGTTTCAATAATTCATTGAATTTTCTCATTTGAACAATGATGTTAAAAAATTACGACCTGCCTACTTAAATATTGATACTTACATATATCGGCTGCTCCTGATATGCAGGCATTAAATTGTCGAAATTTTATTTTGTTCAAAGGATCAATTTTTTAGTGAAGGTAACATTCTAAATACAAAATAAAATGGTTTACTTACAATCCTCCTTCTATGACTACTCCATCATCAGAATCTTCATTTTCTTGTTGCTCGTTAGCAGCACTATTTTCAAACTCCTTACTTTCCGCCTCCTCAACCTCTTCCTCTGGCTCGTCCCCGTCTTTCTTCATTTTCTCTACCTCATCGTCTCCTTCGTTATCCGAATCCGTTATTCCATGTTTCGATTTCTTTTTCGCTTTAACGCTGCCTTCTTCTTCAGAATCAGACATGACTCTATTTCTTTTCTTTACGGCTCCCTCCGAATCTTCACTTCGACTTCTCGACCTTCTAGATTTTGATACCGAACGCGACCTTGATCTTGATTTGGATCGGGATGAATGTCTTGAGCCAGTAACTGATACCGACCTTGATCGTGAACGCGATTGTGAACGTGAACGAGATCGTGAACGAGATCGTGACTGCGACCTCGCAAGCGAAACGGATCTCGACCGAGATTTTGATTTCGATCTCGATTTCGAACGCGATCCAGAACGCGATCTGGAACGAGATGCTTTCGAACTTGAACGAGATCGTGACCGAGACTTGGACGATCTAGAGCTGGATCTCGATCGGGAACGAGAACTTTTTCTCGAAGTAGGGGATTGTGATCCTTTCCGCGACCCTGATATGGATCTTGACTTTGATCTTGAAATAGATTGTTTCGACCTGGATCTTGATCGTGATCTAGACCTTGACCCATGCCTTGAACCTGATGGTGTTCTTGACCTCGGTGATACCTTAGCTTCAGGTGATGGAGATCTGGATAATGACCCTTTTTGAGATATTGCAGGCGATGGTTTTCTTGATCCAGAGTTTGATCTGGATCGTGATCGACTCTTATGCTTTCCATCTGGAGAGTGTGTTAAAGATTGTACACTTTTCTGCGAGTTAGGTGAACTTTGTCTTGATCTATTTATCGACGGGGATTTTGATCTCGATTGCTTTGGAGATGTTTCAATACGTGACGGTGAATGGTTTTCTTCTGGAGATGGAGAACGTGATGTTTTTTTCTCGCTCAAACCGGGAGTTGGAGATCTACTTCGCGATTTTCGGGTCGGGCTGTTTGAAGGCGAACGAGATTTTTGTGAATTTGATCGTGAACGAGATTCCACAACGACCTTCGGAGATCTAGTAGGAGAACGAGAGTTCGTTCGGGAACGCGTGGGGGATCTTGAACAAGAACGAGAATTCACTTTTGGCGACGATGGATTACTTCGTTTGGCCGACGTCGATCTGGATCTGGATCGTGAACGTTCTGGAGATGCTATAGAACTTTTTCTGGATTCATCCAAAGAAGAACTTCTTGATCTTGATTGCAATCTTGTCTTTGCTGAGTATATTGAACGGGATAATGTGGGCGTGTTGTTTCCAGTAACTTTTCCATCTAATTCGAATGTTGGAGATTTAGAAGGTGTTCTTGAAACACTTTTTCTTCCTGTAGATTTTGAGCTAGATCTAGACCTAGATTTTCGATTTGTAATGGTAGGTGAGGCAGATCCATTTCTCGAAGGTGAATGTGAGGGTGATCTAGAATATGATTTTCTAGAATTGGCATTGGAAACTACAGAAGCTGGTGATCTTGCTTGTACAGGTGATGAATGGTTAGATCTAGAAGAAAAGTTTAGATTTTATATTATATTAGAATATCATTATGCAATTGATTTAATGGTTACTATTTTGATAGATACCTTGTAGGACTGACAGAATGTGACTTGGATCTGCTTCTAACTGATCTTTGAGATTCTATTGATGGACTTCTAGACTTATCACGTTCCTCTTCTGATTCACTTCTTTCTTCTAAAAAAGATTATCATTCTGTTAGAACTATATTCCTAAACATGTTATATATTAAAAAAACATATAGATGTTCTGTTAATAATTTGACTAGATATGATCCTTTGTTTCATTATAAAGACTTTCTTTCGACTATTTATTAGAGCAAATTTGGAAAAATGTATTTACCTTCACGATTCATTGCACTAAAAAATATACTCTTTGTCAATAGTGATGAATAATTATTTCGTTCTTAAAATAATAATATTAAATGATTTCTCATCAAGATCCTGCTAAATTATAAAGCAGCTTTTCCGTTTTATGTACAAATAAACAAACATGTTCGAGAAATACATTTACGTCAAAGTAACTTAAGAAATAAAGAAAATTTGTGAAGAACAATCGTGATTGGCCACTGAAATTTCAATTTGTTACTTTCTTAGGTTAGAATAGCTCTCGCTACTCAAAATCAACGACTGATCAACCACCCAGATTCTGCCAGATTCTACCGATTCTACTAGTCAAAGTACTGCCAGAGATGAAAAGGGAGATTGCTCATTTCTTTGTTCGAAAGTGGATACGGC